CATGACAAATTTTTTCTGCATTTGTTTCAACTAACTGTTGTAATTTATGAACAATAAATGTTCATGAGTGTGTTCTAAAATAACAAGAAAAGTGAAATTGAGTAAAAGCCAATAAATGATTAGGAATTCAAAGAGAAGCAACACTTTGTAAAGTGTTGCTGCAGAATGAACATAGGCAATGCTTGGAAATAATGCAACTTTTGGTTAAAATGAGTTGTTTCATCAAGGGTCGCAACCTTGTGAAACAACACATACATGACCTATAAATACTCCATTTAGAAATTCAAAAAATCATATCACAAATCGAAAATCCTCTTATACAAATTCCATACACTTTTCACTACAAATCAGAGTTTTCGTTGATCTTGTCCAAATTCGATATAAGGCTGAATTATCCTGAGTATTCCTGTGTTCCAACTCTAAGAAATACAAGAGAATGCTTGAAATACTTATAATGAAAGTGACATCATTCACGATTCATTACTAGATCCATACAACTTTACCGATATTTCTAACAATCTTAAAAGTATTCAAATGGCTTCCGACGCTGCAATTTCAAGCATCAAAGTTATGAACCAGGATCTTGTCAAGTTGGATCGCTTTGACGAAACCAACTACAATCGATGGCAAGATAAGATGACATTCCTACTGAATGCTCTGAAGGTTCACTATGTCTTAGATCCTGACTTACCACCAATTCCTGAACTAACTGAGGATGACTCTGATGAACTCAAGAAGGAGCATAAGAAACATAAAGAGGATGAATTGATGTGTTGTGGACATATCCTTAACACACTATCTGATCATCTCTACAACCTCCATATGGATACTCTAGCGACGAAGATGATTTAATTTCTCAACATATATGATGTTTCACAATATAAATAAATATAGAACAGATCATTGCTTTAAAGAATTTGGGACAATAAACCAAGTTCTACGTGTTAAAGAGTGGTATAAATGAATTACGAGATGAGTGCAATTCGAAAATCATGTTTGATCTAAGTTTCATTTTAAATATAACTTAATTTTCAGATTATTATTTTCTAAATTACTTTAAATGAATGCATGTTCAATGAAGGGAGAAAAACAAACAATATACATACATTATAATAAACTCAACAATAACATATACATCAACAAAACGATAATAACATACATTTAATTAAAAAGATTCGTGGAATGATTTGAAGTTGATCTACTTTGTGTTGCCATGAAGAAAAAATATAAGGTGGATGAAGCTTCCAAAATTGATTCATATTTCTTATACTGTTTCTCCATAGCAAAACAAATCATTTATGAAACACACCCATAACCTGTTTTGAAAACATAAACTAGCATTAATATGATAACATAACAAGCAACAACAAAGCGTTTATGAAGTAAATCATGTCACAATAAAAAGCGGCATGTTAACATAAATAAGCAATACATTTTAACATAATAAACAACAAAAACAAAAACATAACTAGAATTAACATTGTAATATAACAAGCAACAATAACCAACAGTACATTGTTAACCCAAAAAGACAAAAAGTAGCATGTTAACAACAACTAATAAATAACTACCCATAAGAAATAAAAAACTTATAAAAAATAACAACTAACATGTTGAATTATCCTGGGTAGTTATTTGTGCAGTCTAAAGGTCTTCATCTAATTCGAAATTAGTTACATCCAAATTTATAAGGTCATTCATAATAGCTTCTATCTTCTTCATCTTTTCAGGGTTAAGATTCTTGAAATGAATCTTCTTATAGTCTGTTCCACCAGAAGGTTCAACAATAGTAATGTGTTCCCTAACAGATTCAACTTTCTTGGCTTTGTTCAACCATAACTCTACCATATAAATAAACTCTTTTATAACCTAAATCTCACGAATAAGTTTGTTGATCCCACTATTCATGATGAGTGAAGGATCTGAAATCGAAAAATATAACAACAACAAGAAGAACAACAACATACAACAACATAAAACTATAACAACATACAAAAAAAACATAAACTCTCGAACAAGGAAGACGAAGAATACCTTTATGTATGAAGTGAGAGATAATGAAGAATAATAGAGAAAATGTGTGCTAGGGCTTTACTGTGATATATATGGTGATATTGTCAAAAAGCGAGAGCTAACTCACTTATATGTAAATAAGTAAAAATTTCACCACGACTGTTTAAAAAAACCGCGATTAAATGTAATGAGATTCACATCAGTTCTCACTATCAATTTTGGTGATATGTATTTAAATTTAATTTATATATTATAATTATAAGGACAACATCAATTTTAACGAAAAAGTAAAAAAATTGTTGGAGTTGAGATTTAAACTCTGTCACTCCATAAATGTATAATCACGACTTATTAGTTTGAGCGTAATGCAATGTATTTTCATAAATATAAATAAAAAACGTGTCCATAATTGAGGTATTACCACGATTAATAAACATAATGTTGTAGTTTAGTGTGATGAATGGTCTATTTTGTAGTAGTGGATACATCTTCCAGTGTAATAGACATCTCACCATGCGGGAGATGAAATGACGAGGTCTCAAAGTGCCATGTCTCTACGAATGCATTAAGCATCTCATGTTTGGCCGTAATATTACTAGTCAAACACAAGTACTTCATCCCAGATAGGGATAAAGCTTCCTGAAACCATTCCTCATTCGGCTGCGGCAATCCAATAATCTTTCGCCTGTGGTTAATAAACTTCAGCGGATCACGATCCTGCAGAAAAATAAATTAATGTAAGAAACTTGTAAATTAAAATAATGAATCCAAATAAAGCTACCTCTCCATTCCGTATATGTTTGGCAGTATGGTATAGATACAAATGTAGTAGTGACAAGTCTACAAGGTCTCCTCCAAATGGCTCTTGCTCACCATTCAGAGGTGGCACTGGCTTACAACAATAGGAGGTGGCATTGACTCCGCAATATCAGCATCCGAAGGTGGCACCAGCTCACAAGCACCATCTGTCGAAGGTGGCACTGGTGCCTCTGGTACCACCGGTGACTCGGGTACCACTAGCATCAGAATAGGTGAAACCTGACGTCTGTAAAAGGATAGAGGGAGTGATGCATCAGTAGGTCAAACTCGTCTCTTACGGGAATATGGTGATGGAGAACCATGAGGAAAAGGATAAGCCTCAAAAGTTGATGCCTCCGTATGGTCAGAGTGAACAGTAGCCTCCGAAACCTTACTCTTCTCCCGCCGCACTGATGCATGTTATGCAATCCTCCCGTGCTTCAATCTATCGTGTCTATCAACCATAATGCTTGGAAGTAAAAGTAAACCAGACAATTAGTGCAAGCAAGCAATACTACAAACGAGAAAAAAATAGACTCAGAATTTCTAGAGATGCATCTCCGATTACTGGGAAGCTTAAATAAAGAATTTTCTGCAACAAATCATGTGCGTCAATGGAGACATCTCAACACAAAAAATAATGGGTTGATCATCATTTTCAGCAAACAAACATGTTTTAATCTATGTCTAAACTATCATTCATGCAATTTCAACTTATTTCTTATCATAATCATCAATTTCTACTCATTCACACAAAAACTCTAACACTTTTTAAAAAAAATAAAAAAACTTACAAATTTAGAGTTTACCTCAATCTTTGATGATGTATCTGATGCACTTGATGTTGATTGAATAACCTCTGAACTTTTTTGTTCGATTTGGGATTTGGTTGATGAATTTTTTTTAGAGGGTTTTTGATAAACTTTTGAGTTTATTTTAGAAATGAGGAAGGAGAAGGGTTTGACGCGATATAATCTCCAATACCTTCCAACAATGAATCTCCGAAATACGTCTGAAGATGCATCTTCGAAAAATGTTAACGTTAAGTCAGAATTGGATGCGTTCGGAGATGCATCTTTATAATTTGTGGACATTTAAGTATTTTACGTGGCGCCTAAATAAGATATATGATGCATTAATAAATCCTCAAATATTATGAAGTTGTTCAGATACACAAAAGTTATGTGCCATTTTAAAATTCCGAACCGTATTGAAGAACCGAACCGTTAAACTATTTTTAATTTTTTTAAGTTAAAACTTATTTTTAGTATTTTTCATATCGGTTTGGTTTAGTTACAATTTCAATTTAGTTTGATTTCAATTTCAATTAGGTTTTAAAACTGTTTGTATAATATGGTTTAGTTCACTAACCAAACATAACAGTTCAATTATTTTAACTTAAGTTCGGTTCGGTTCAGTTCATAGTTTTTTTGAACAACCTTACATACCAACGATTCTTAACGCAATATTTTGTAATATTTATCATTATCTAAGGATTGCTCACACTATTTTATATATTTAAATTTATCTAAAAGATTTATTTAAATTTTAAAAAATATTTTAGTGATCTCTTTATTAATTATTAAATAGTCAAGAGATCTTTTTATATGATAGGCCACTGTTAAAATTGTTTGACGGTTAACTCATAATTATTTTACACGAGAAACTAATTGATAAAAAAAGAATTTAGTTATTATGCAATGTAATAAGTTTTACATTGTCAATACATCACAATCATTAGTTGGTATTATTTTTTAAGTGGTTAAAAAAAAAGTTAAAATATTTAAATAAATCAACGGTTAAGACCAACTGACAGTATAAAAAATCTTTACGATAACTGTACATATCAATTAAATTAAAAAAATCTTTAAGTTTAATGATCTATTGAAACTTTTAATTAGTTTATAAAAGTACAGATTAATTAATAGTAATGATAATAATAATAAACTTCAAAAAAGAATAAGGGGTAAAGAAAAAAACCAGAGGTGTAGTAGCAAGCCCTAAAATTATATAACCGAGAAATTAAGATCCAATTCGAGTCCAATCCATTTGATTAAGAAAAAAAGAGAAAAGAAAACAATTCCAAACGAAGTCGTTTTGTACGGTTAGTGGCAGTAACATAAACATTAGGCAATAATCAACCAGAAATTGAACAAGAACGAAGAAGAAGAAGAATCGAGGCAATAATCATGGCAGGTCGATTAACAAACGTAGCATCACAAATCTTAGGCGGAAACGGCGTCGTTCACCGATCGGTAGCTTCCTCTCTTCGCCTCCGCTCCGGCATGGGTCTCCCCGTCGGCAAACACTATGTCCCAAACAAACCCGTTAGTTTCTTTAACCTAATCTAATCTATCCAATTCATTTTCATTTTTCCGTAGAATCGTGAAAACTAACCTCAATTTTCAGCTTCCCGTGAATGAGGAACTTACATGGGACAACGGTACTGCATATCCCGAACCTTGTATAGATCGCATTGCTGATACGGTTGGAAAGGTACCTAATTTTCACCCTATGGATGTAATTTATTAAGTTAGTATTATGATTTCGATGCGTGAAGTTGATGATTTTTTCATTTGAAAACTAGTATGAAGCTTTGGCTTGGCTATGTGGAGGATTGAGCTGTTTTGGGGCTCTGGGATTATTGGCTGTGTGGAATGATAAAGCCTCTAAGACACCATTTGTAAGTCGACTTGCTAAACCTCTGGATTGTTGGGATTTGGTTCTGTTTTGCTTTGGATGTTTGCTGATTTCCATTCTTTAATATTTGTTCATCAAATGCTATGGATGTTGGTTGTGATCATGGTTGGTGAATTTTGGAACTTGGATTCGTTTTAAGCTTGATTTGATTGTATAATATTGTTCTTAAGCTTGATTTGATTGTATTTGGAGTTGTGATATATATTATTAGATCCTTTGGGTGGTTTTCTATGTCTATGGTTATCATTCTTTGATAATGGCACGGAGTGACTAACCTCAGAAAACTTTACTGAATATGTTACATCCAAGAGGTAGAATTCGTGCGAGCTATGTTGTCAATAGCATGCTGTAGAGGAATAGTGCAGTGGTTGTAGGTTTCACCACAACGCTTTTGGCTTGCAAGCCACTGTCAAGTGTCAACAATAGTGATGATTGTGGCTACTAATTGCGGCCCCTAAGAAATTCCACAACTTTTTTTTGTTGTTATTTTTAGGGTAAAAGTTTAAATTTGAACCCTTCTTCATTATGGTTGTTCTTGCTCACAAACAATAGTTCTATTCTCCTTCCTACTTTATGTTCATTTCTATTTCAGTTTTAATTACTCTGCACTTTAGGTTCTTTAATTTTAAGTATGATGGTCTCTTAATTTTTTGTATTTTTGCGTATTTATGTTTACTTTGCTAACTAATTTTTAGTCTTTGCAATAGTGGCTATCTGCTACCCAGCTATAGCATTTTAGGGGGCTGATGCTCCCCGGGATTAACAACATAGTGTGCTAGACATATATACATGATACCCTTCCTTAGTTGCTATTGACTCATTGTGGTCACATCAGTAGCTGGGCACATACTTATAACTTATGTCATATTCATGCCTCACACTGGCACCTGGCGGTATACGGTAGAATATAGAGTAACTTGCTGATAGAGTGAATGACATTCTTTTGTCAACTACAATTCAAATTAACAATGTAGCCCTTAAAGCATCCATAAAACAAGGTAAGAGAGTATTACTCAAGAAGCACTTTGGCCTGTAAGCCAGGGAATTGCAGCATCCAGTCCTCCCAGGCTCTAGTACCTAAGTTGCAGCTCTTAGGCCTGGGCATTCACCTGGCAATTGCAAAACTAAATCTCAAACTTTCAGTTGAGCTGATTGCAATATGTAGCAGCCAAGGGCAGATATTTTGTTGTGGATTAAATTGAGTTGCTATGTAATACAGATAAAGAGCTAATTTTTGGTGGGTTTTCTGGGTTTCAGCTGGGTTATTCCCAGATTTGGTGCATCAGCTAGGATTACTGGGATAAGGATCATTCAAGCTTGCAAAGCGTGCAGCATTGCATATTTCTACTGTAGCAACATCGTAATTTGAACCTTACTTCACATCAAAGATGTGATTGAATACTTTAAAATTATGAAATTTTTTATAAATATGTTGTATGCTTTCTAGAGAGTAAGCCACATGGTTATCAAATTTTGAATTGTGATGATATATTTGTATTTTCTTTTCTGGTTGGGTTGAGTCCAGTCTACTTTAAAAACTTGTTCGGTTTGGATGAGAGAAAAATAGACCTGGCATAGGCTGTGCTGATTCCTGAGTCATAGAAACTGAAATCCACCAAACGTGACACTATTTCTTAGTCTCGGTCTCAAAATAATTGACACATTTGTTTATTTGACACCACAACAACAACAACCAAACCTTATCCCACTAAGTGGGGTCGGCTACATGGATAACTTCTGCCATAATGTTCTATGCATGACCATGCTTTTATCTAATTGTTAATCTCGAGGTCTTTCTTAATAAGTAATAACTTCTCTTATAGTTTTTCTAGATCTTCCTCTACCTCTAACTATTTGACTTTTCTCCATATGATATACTCTCCTTACCACAAAATCTACCGGTCTTCTCCCTATCTATTATCCACCATTTTCTCTACTATAGGTTCCATCCCAACACTATCTAATATTGTAATTTCTAATCTTATCATGTCTAGTCTTATCACGCATCCAACGCAACATCCCCATATCTACTACACTTACTTTATTCTCGTATTGATTCTTAAGCGTCCAACATTTGCTTGTTTGACACACATTAAGAAAATACTATAAATAAATGAAAGAGAATTTAGTTTTACCAAATTAACCTTGTCAGTTATTGGCTTGTTCACTATTATTATAAATGCAAAGTGGAAAATATTGATTTGAGAGTGATGCACATTGAAAATTGAAAGCGACATCATTTTTGGACAAACTTTTTTTGTTGCAAATGTGACGATTATTATGGATTAGAGGGAGTGACTTTTGTGTTTCTTTTGACTTTGAACTTCAATTTACATCCCTGGATCTGTTGGATGATATGATATTTCTTTTCATTCTTCATTCTTGCATTTAAATAATATAAACAATTACCATATGTTAGTGTGCATTGCAACTATGTTAATTTAGCAGCAAGTTTGAAGCTTGCAATAGAGATGCTGATCAGTCCACTTTTGCTTGGTAGAATTACAAACTGGTCTACATCATCAATTTAGGTGTCTCATTTAGTCTTATATTTTCCCCATGAATGATTATTATATAAAAAATACCCAATTCTCGGACTCTTACCTACTTCTGTCACTAGTAATTTTAGAAGTGTATTATTACATCTACAGTTTGTCGGTTGAAGCAGTTAGCTCAATTTTTGTTCTACTATTTTCAGTTTCTTTTCTTTTATTCTTTCCTCAGATATTTTAAAGTATTTATGGAACTAATTCATTGTAATAAGACCGATTCCATTCTTAATTCTCCTGATAGCCTTGATATATGGTATCCACACAATTTCTCTCTCAGCAAGCTCTTGACCTTGCTTTATCACTTCCTCTGTTATTGATTGTGGGTCTTCTTCATCTTCAATGCATTTGCTGTTCTTGTTTACCATCGGATCTCTTCAATCCAGTTGATCATGCCTCAAATTTTTACCTTCAGATAATCCTATTCTGGTTTCTCAACCATTGTCTGGTGAGAACTGTTTTATGGAACCGTGCCATGAAGGTGACTTGGTTAGCCAATATTTATTTTGGCTTTGTAACCTTTATTGATGGCTGGCTATATTCAATTTCCTGAAGTACCTGCTATTCAGATTTTCTCAATATGGCAAAGGAACACCATTTTGTTGTCTCATGACTCCTTGATTTCAAAAAGAATCACTGCTCTATTGCTCCAGATCTGCAACAAAGATTTGGAATGACCTGTGTGAAAAGCATTTGGGAAGAACAAGTGTCCTTAGAAAAGCATTTTCAGGGCTATGTTTATTTTCTTTGACATTATTGTGTTTTGAAGCTTCACATGTTATGCTGATAGATTTTCATATTATTGTGTCAGGCACCCAAAGTATATCCCTATGACAATCTGCGAGTGGAGCTTGGTGGTGAGCCATAAGTAGATCCAAGGCAATAATGGGATGATTACTTCGATTATGTATTTGTTCTGTTCATTTGTACTCCTATATTATCTTATGTGGTCGAAAATAATGGATCAGAAAGACTTGCTGAAACCAAATACAAGAATGAAAGAGCTGAATCTGGTTTAATTCTTTTGATCATTCTGTCATGTTTGTGATGACAATAGTGAGTTGGCAAAATTATTCTGCACAATTTCTCCACTCTTTATGATTCTGAGTATACTCTTACAAGATAAAAGAAGTGAACTTCATTTAACCCTTATTCTTTACCCCTACTATTTGTTGTTACTTGTATTTAATTTCCCAACATCATTTCAGTGAAAGAACGCAAAAGCACAACCCAAATATTGGAATAAAATTTCATCAAGTACTTGTGAAAAAAGAACTATTAGTTTTTTTATAGTAATTATTATTGAGCCTACATGGTTGTGGTTTTCATTTTGATTATGCTATTTGTTGAGGTTTTAATTTGCCACCTCAACACTTATACCTGACACTTCATATTTAAAGCGCATTTATTGTTATATCCTTTTATAAATATCAAATTCTTTTGAAATTTATATGATTTTATAAAAAATTTGTAGTTTGTATTGAAATTTTTTTTTTTACGTAACAAAGACGACACATGTATTGTAAATTTAAAATTTCTGCTAAAAATATATCAGAAATTGTAAAATCTTTGATAGAGATCTGGAGTGTTTTATTAGAAATTATGAAATTTCCAAAAAATAATATAAAATTTTAGAAATTTTAAAACTTTCGGTATGTGTCACAAAATTTCAAAAATTTTTGCTATTTTTTTTCAGAAATCTATTCAATTTTTTTCCGCTTAACTAATTCAATAAAAAAACTACCCGATATAATATATACATATAATAAAAACTGTAATGTATACAAGATTACAAAATAAATTAGGATGACTTTCTAACTTCATCTTTCCGGTGCCTAACCCATCATGTATATCCTGATTTTCATGTTTTTGCATCTTCAATATAGTTATGTCTCAAATGGTCAGTGACTTTTGTCTCCAATGGCCAATGACGGGAGGCAATGAACTATCAAATTTTAACTTTACCTGAACCCAATGATTGTTGTTGACAAAACCAAGAACAATGATTTTATGTCTGCTCGTATACATAGATGAAGATAAGGTAAGAGAAAAAAAAGGTAATGTTAAGTCACTTTGCTAGGGAGACAAATACGATATTGTATCTACAAGCAATAGGGTAACCCATACTAAGAATCACCATCCATTTATCAATATCATGCACACTCAAGTGTTATACTCGTAACACATCTCTAACTTCAAAGACCATTTTATTAAACAAATTGAAAACAATTGAGGATGTTGATGAATTTGAGTATCTAATTACATCCGAATCAAAGGCCATGACTCTTCGCCACATCCAAGTAAAGTTCCATTAGCCCGAAAACTACACTTTTCACTATCACCCACATCAACAATGTTATCAATGTATGAATGTAAGAAATTAGAAAACTGAGACAAGTAAAAATGCCTCGAAAATGCAGTGGACGATTGACTTTGACCCGACATACTTGACAGTTGACTTCTAGTTGGTTTAATGCATGATCTCTTTGTAGTCTGACTTCCTTGCGACCCCTCACCATGCACCCACTACGAAGGATCACGATGTACATCACTCTCTTCATCCTTTTTACTCATTTTATTTCTCCTCTTGGACTTGTACTTCACCGGTGGTGGACACATAGATGTTGTGGATGGATGTGTTAGTTCCCAAACCTTTTTCTTTAACACCATCTGGCCTAAAATATCCAAAGTACTGAAATATGTCTTCAACTCTTTACACTCTGCTTCTAAATACAACTGTGTACCACTTTCTTCATGATTGACATCCTGATCTTCAATGTGTAATTTCTTTCAAAACACATGAATTTGTTATAAAGGAACATGATTTCTTTGTATTTGGAAATCAATAAGTTCCCACACACAAGGTAACTCATATGTTGTTCTAATGAAGTAGCCACAAGCATCTTGACTTGCACCAACAAATTTTACCTTTCTAGTTCCTTTCCAATGCGCTATATACACTGTCTTGAAATAAAATTGTGCAAGTTGGTATAGAATGGAGTGTTATACCGATACCCAATGTTGACAATAATTTTTTGAAACGAGACCCTGATTGAACTTAGCTACAACTTCAACATGGTACTCACAACATCCTAAATTCGGCAGAAATTTCACCGATTTGTAGTCAACATGTTTTTTAGTCTCCAATGAGAAGACTCCATCCTAAAAACCATAATTAGAAATATATGTTAAATTATATTTAGTAATGTAATAACATCAAAATGACGTTCGTGTATCTGTTCATTGTTGTGTTTCTTAAATGAGCGACTATGTTAGTTCAAGCAGCAACAAATCTTTCTTTACAAGGTTTTAACCATATTTCAATCACACACTTAACAAATAAAGGAATATCAACACAAACAGTCTCAAAATGCTTCAAGTGTTCGACAAAATCAATTTCTCTATTAGCATACATGATGTTGTTCCGTAGATCTATGACATGTTCTTATCTTTCTTATTTAACATACTTTTTGCATTTTATACTAACATTTTTTAAAATATGGAACGAACACAACATATGAGTTAAATTTGGAAACACAACATATTTTACATGTATACTAATGTTGTTGTATTATTTGTTTATACTTTTGTATAAAAACTTATGTTATATATATATATATATATATATATATATATATATATATATATATATATATATATATATATATATATATATATATATATATATATATATATATATATATATATATATATATATATATATATATATATATATATATATATATATATATATATATATATATATATATTGATGGATGATCAGAACCTAAAGTGGGTCAGAGACAATCGCCTATGATGCTGGGTGTGAGAGAGGAGGAGGGGGTGTACCTGCAAGGTACTCCGATGTTAATGTAAGAATCGAGAGAAAGAAGGCAAGTACAAAATATGTGTGTATCAGGGTGAATATTGAGCACCTGACCCTCTCAAATGAGAGGGTTTTTATAGTGTCCCCAACGCTTGACCACTGGTCCCTATTTTCGGGGCAAGATAACCGTTTCCCGAAGAATAGATAATTACCTGAAACTAGTCGATGGAACGGGCATAGGTGCCCATAACTAGTTGTTGCTACGGGAAGAGGTGCAGTTATGGGCACAAGTGTCTTGACTGTTTCTGGATGGTGGAACCGTGCTTGACGGGCAAGGAATGACGAGGAAAAGTGTAGGTCTAGGAGTAAATCGATAAGCCTCCCCTGTTGGAGGGGCAAGAAGGTAAATGCTCCTCCAAATTGGTTGGACTTAGGAAATTGGGCTACTCTGAAAGCATAAGTGCATTGGGTCATGCCTATCCATTGGTCCAGTTTGAAACAGTAGCCCCTCCAATTCGTTGCTTCCGAGCATGTGATTGATGACTTAAGAACAGTTCGCACTCCGGGAAATGTCGTCGCTTGTCGCAGAGACGAAGCTTTTGCCTTGTGCCCGAGGTAATATGTGCCCGGGAACCTGTTACACTGTTTGTCGGGGAGGTTGAGATACGGGGAAACCAACAGTTGATGGGATCTGAAGGGGTGAAGTGCCACGCGTGCCCCGAGCTGCGTGCCATATTTAATGCGTAATGATGGCTATGCTAGGGTCATGATGATGCCCCTAGCCGCGTGTGCTCGTGCACATGCCAGAAATTGCCTATAAATAAAGCGAGAAGTTTCTCATTTGCACTTTTCGCTTCTCTCTTTAACTTCGCTCTCTGTTCTTCCTTTTCGTCGTCCGCCGCCGTCAAGTTCCGACTAACCACCGTACCTTCACCGGCCAGAGCCGTTCGACTCCAAAAACACGCCCTTAGACCATATAAGTTCATGACTCCCTTGCTTGTTTTATGTTTCATTGATTTTTGCTTCTTAGATTGCATGCGGTTATGGTCATAACGTAGTAGTTTAGGGCTGTATTCTGGTGGCTGTTGGTGGCAAATGGTGGTTTGGCCACTTTTTCTGCTGCCGGCGTCGCTGGAGATTTTAGGAGCTTAGGATTTATAAACTTTAGGATTTAGCTGATTGTGATGCTGTTGTGACACGTGATCGTTCATCGCCGGTGGGAACCACTGATTTCCAGTGTGCTTATGAGCTTTTCGACGACTTCCCACTAGAAATTTTGGGCTTTGTACCAAGGGAGATTCTGGGTTTTGTACCAGGGGAGGTTTCCCTCGAATGTGTCATGGAAATTTCCCGGGCATATCCCCGTTGTTAACTATGCCATTTGAGTAAGGCTTAGGACGGGGACGCTTTTCTCGGGCCTTCGTGCGCCCTTTCACTTGACTAGTGGTGGAAAGGTGGATTTGATTCTGTCATTGAATTCACTTTTATCCTCTGCTTTTCAGGTAAAGGAGATGTCGCACGGAGCTGAAGAAGAGATCTCGAGAGACTTGTCCGATGAGAGCTCCTCAGAAGAAACTGAAACCGACAATGTTTCCATGCCTCTTGATGTTGGGGAGGTGCCCGTTTTGAGGGCCACTGCTGAGGAATGGTTTGTGGCCGAACCAATGGAGCACGTGCCACTTTTCGCTTCTTATACTGGGGAGGTCTTCACAATGGTGGGGGCCGAAGGAGAATGGAAGATCCATTTCCCCATAGAATATGATCGCATATGCTCGTCGTATAGGGAGAGGTTATGCATGTACGAGTACGTTTTCAAGGAGATAGGGCTGAGGTTTCCCTTTTCATATTTCCAAAGGGAAGTCTTCGTGCATTTAGACCTGGCTCCCTCGCAGTTGCACCCAAACTTGATTTCCTTTATGCAGGAATTCGAGTTAGTATGTGAGTACTTGGAGATTAGGTTTACTCTCCCCCTCTTCTTCACTGTCTTCCACCTCCAACAACAGGTTTCAGGGAGGAAATTTGGATGGGTATCCCTGAAGCAG